TTTTTTTTAATTTGGATAGAAATTTCATGAGTAGCCTATCTGCTACTATGCCTATCATTAAAAGTTACTAGTTGGTTGATAGATTTTAACAGTTTAAGTTGATACATAGCACTAAAACTTATAATAACATAGATAGCTGATATAATAAGATTAATTATATTTGGGAAATAAATACTCAGGAAATACTGCTATTTGGGGAAGCCAGCTATATTTCTGATATGGATTATATTTCTAAATTTCCCCAAAGTCTGTTGTTTCATCTGTCACCTAACGTGTTAAATGTATAATTTTAAAATATTCAATTTTGCTACAAAATAATAGGAAAAAGGAAGAAGAGATGACATTAAGTAGAGAGGCAAATGGCTTGTGAGACATGGCAGACATAGAAGAGAAAGAATCCATGTGAGGTTAAACAGATAAAAATGATGGGACAAAGGTAAAAATTACTTCTAGGTAGAAAAGGATGGAAAAAGTCTATTGCAAATATTTGTGATTCACTAAGTATGCGCATGGCACATGAGACACTCAATAGTTAATGGGCTGAACATCAGCTATCCATGGGTGACATCCAATATGGCTCAGCACGTCCTCTGTCCAAGAAGCACAAATGACATTTACAGTTGGTTAGCAGGTGTTCTAATTGTGGACAGGCACAATTGTCCCAGCATCTCTCTAATAGAGCAAGCAAGATGTTGGCCCCAGATATCCTAAACCTGTTGAGCCGTCTTGCTTAAACTTCAACTCTGGGCCTTGTAACCACACCCAGCAGTGGGAAGTTTGATGTGTCCGAGTTAGAAGAGACACAGACCGATAGAGTAATTCGGACAGTTCATAACAACATGGTGTGACCCAATATTCAGGTGGTGTGATCTGTCATCTGGTTGCTTCCTGTCCATTGTGGGTTAACCTTTTGCTGATTCTCACCATATATTTTAAGTGTATATAATAAGCTGTGTGATTGGAGCATCTTAATTTGGAGCGTGAACCTCCCTGTTCTGTAACCTCTGTGCTAAAATGCCTGGTCCTATACTTGGAGACAACAGTTACATCAAGGTAATTCCCCATGTGGCACTGCTGGCCAATTTTGGCCTCATTTTTCTTCTTTATATTTACAACGGATGATAATTACATTGCAATGGGTAAGGGGTATGCCATTTCAGAAGGACATCTGGTCACCTAAAAAGAGCATTTAACTGTCACGGGGATACATTTCAGGAATTGTCTGGCAGCGGCAGACAAACAAAAGAAGAATTCATGGTTCCGCGGGATAAAATCCAAGCTCTTGGAAGCTGGTTCCAATTCAAACTCTCATTCTGAAAGGTGAGATTTAGTGGCATGTCAAAGGCCACTATTTCTACTAACGAGTCAGCCAGCACAGAAGCTGAGCTGTCTACGGAGGCTCAGGGGTTATTTGAGACACTATGGCTGTTCCTCTCTGGGTCCTGGATAATGACCAAGCACACAGGCTAGCACATACTATGTAATGACTAAAAATAGAAAGTCCAGCTGTCACAATTAATAAATTAACATTAAATGAGGGGGAAAAAACACCCACACCCACAGAGAATTTCTGTGTATTAACAGGTACCTGGAAGTGTCACTGAGACATTTCAAGTGCTAAACATTGCTGTTCTTTTCCCTGTCAATTTCATCATGAAGATCCATATTTCCATTTGCTTCTGGAAGACTAAACTTTAGTCAATCTTCTCAAGTTAGTTGATTTTAGCTGGGAGTTTATGCCCAGTTATCCAAAATATTTAATTCAAAAAAGCTTTTACTCACCCGCTAATATATATGAACTGGGTTAGATGTTTGGAAACAATGGTTAGTAAGTTTTAAATTATGTTAATCAACAAACATGTTGGATGTCTTTCTCTATGCCAGGCACACTGTTCTAGGCACCAAATACTGCAGCAGCAGTGGCTTAAAATAAAGAATGTTAACTATCAATAAAATTAAGTCCAGAGCCTCGGTGGGCAGCTCACCTATGACCTCAGTGATAGAAATGGTTTTTGTCTTCACATTTCCTCTTCATAATTTGAAATTTTCCTTTGGGCTTTTTGCCTTGTGGTCACAAAACACCTGTTTCAGCTTCAGGTATCTTGTCCTCACAATACCATCCCTAAGCAAGATGAATGAGGTGGTGAGAGAGATCTCTCACAATTCTCTTTTTATCACAAAAACAACTTCTATCCTAAGGCTTCCCAGCAGAATTCCCCCTTGGATGGGTATTGATGATAGAAATTTCTGTGACGCCGAAACCGTTCCATCATGTGTGCTGTCCAAAACAGTATCTTCCAGCAAGCACTGGAATTGTGGCTAGTGTGCCTAAGGAGCTGAATTTTTAGTTTTATTTAATTGAAATGGAAACACATGTATCTCATGTCTAGCCTATTGGACAGTGCGGTCTTTGCTTCTTTTTGGCTAGAACTAGGTTATAGCCACCAATTGTTGGGAGGGAAGCTGGAGGATAATTAGCTTTTACAGTCTCCGAGGGAGAAAAAGTTTAGGAATGGCCATTGGGCAGCATCCAACAGTGTCTGCCAGAAAATGTAAACAAGATAGAGTTTTATAGAT